AATCTCCCTGTCATTTCCTTTGTCCTTGTTCTTACCTGCAAAAACAAGGATAAAGAAAGCAATATCTTGGAACCTCCACTCAAACTTTCGATAAGGAACCAACTGCTTGGAACCTTTCTTGATTGCTTACCTAGAATGGCTCTCGAGTACTTATCTTCAACTGTTGATGAAGCTGGGTCTTAAGTCATCAACACCGCAGAATAATTGGCATGTTGTTGGCTTTTTACACTGAAGCTGCCACGCATGGATGAGTCACCAAGAAGTTAAGGACCATTCAAATGCAAGGTTTGCATTCCACTCTTGCATCAGTGAGCAAATACTACAAGAGAAGATGTCAAACCTGCATAGGGAAAAATTAGGAAAGTTACCATTTCTGCAAGGGAAACAGATAAGGCAAGTGAAAATGATACATTAAAGCATGTGGAGACAAATGCAATAAACACGTGCTAATTCATCCCTGAGAAAGCTGAAGATTACTTGCCAAGTGAAGCTCCTCATGATCCAATTTCATTCAAGATCAAGCCTCGAAGGTCCTTGAAGAAATCACAAGTTCGATTCAAGATCAAGTGTCCACCACCCTTGAATCAAATTTAGCTCCAAATAAATAAAGTAAATTCAGACTTTTGGAGGAAATCAAAATACCCCCTAGCCCAGTTCAAGAACAAGCCTGTGGAAAGTTAACAACAAGTAAAGCATCTTTTTTTTTCGGAAACTCTTCTCACTAAAAGACTGAAGCAGAATGATTAACGATCAGCCTAAATGATTTGAAATCAGGGGGAGATACTCATCAGGGGGAGCATCTAAAACAGATCAAGATTTTAATGAGTCAATCGAATACTTGTGGTCATCCAAGGGGAAGTGTTATGAATAATATGTGGATGGCCCACATGAATAGTTTGTTACTATTTATGAACAGTATTTTCACTATTCATTTGTAGAAAATTTGTAAAGTGAATAATGTTCTTTTTGCTTATAAAACGAATGAGGTTATAAAAGCCATAAGGCTCACGGTAGAGGAAGAGAGAAAAGAGAGGAAAAGGAGATGAGATAGTAGAAAGAGTTACTTTTGTACTCCTATTATTTCATATTATATAATGAAAACACCACCACTGCACCGAGGACGTACTACAGTCACACTGACTATAAAGGAACCTCGTAATTTTTGTGTCTTGTTTTATTTATTCCACTGCACACACCATCGATTTTACAACAAAAACAAAACAAAAAGTTGTTGACAACAACTTTAGAACCCATGGGATGGTGGAATTGTCAAACTATTACCCTGAGATATTAATTCATGTTGTAGGCCTATTGATTGAACTGTATTTAGGACAAAGAGGGAGAGAGGCCGGCGACAACAGAGAGAGAAGAGAGAGATGTAATTCTGAGGTGTGTGTTGTATCACCCCATTGTACCTTTATTTATAGTAGTAGGGAAGGTTAAATCCTTACCCTAATAAGATTACAACTCTAATAGGAATTAGACTACTAAAGGGAATATACAAAGATACTCCTAGATACACTAGAATTTACACCATCATATTCCTAATCCAATAGGACTGCAACACTCCTCTTTGAGTGTGTAAATACTCAAACAAAGCATCACATCAAATCTTCAGTAGATAAGGTAGAGTACATTAAGATCAAGTGAGTATGCTTCAAGATACTCCTCCTGAGTTAGACATAACTTCCAAATAAGAGAACTATAAGTAATTCAACTCAGATAATTTACGCATACCGATTCCTTAGACGAGCTTTTGAAAAGTAGACTTGGTGAATAGATCGGCCAAGTTGTCTTGGGAACAAATTTGCTTGACTTCAATGTTCTGATGATGTTGTTGCTGGTGAGAATAAAAGAACTTCGGCACTATATTCGAGGTGTTGTCTCCCTTGATGTATCACTTCTTAACTTCTCGATACATGTTGCATTGTCTTCAAAGATCGTCATAGGAAAGTCAACAACGAAAGAAAGACCACTAGTGCTTCAAATATGTTCCATGACTACTCTCAACCATAAGCACTTATGCAATGCTTCATGCAAGGTGAGAATCTTAGCATGGTTCGAATAAGTCATAACTAGCGTTTGCTTGGTAGACTTCTAAGATATAACGGTGTCTCCAACAGTAAAGACATAATCCATTTAAGAACGTGCCCTATGTAGGTCAGACAGACAACCAGCATATGTGTAACCAATGAGGCAGAAATTAGATTGAGGACTGAGGGGGTGGCAGCACCTCTCAAGGATTCATGGGTGTAGAACAAGCCTAAATCTGTCGTACCCTTGAGATAGTGGAAAATGTCTTCAACACTATTCCAGTGTCTACGTGTAGGCATATTGTTGTATCTAGCCAAAAGATTAATAGCGACGAAGATGTCAGGTCTAGTGCATTAAGCCAAGTACAATAAAGTACCAATTGCACTGAGGTATGGAACTTTAAGCTCCAAATTCTCTCCCTCATCCTTCTTTGGATGAAAAGAATCTCGTTTAGCATCTAAAGTCCGAACGACCATAAGAAAACTCGAAGGCTTCACTTTATCCTCATTAAAACGTCGCAACATCTTCTGGTGTAGTTCGATTGATGTACTAGGATTCCATCCGAACAATGCTCGATCTCCAGGCCAAGACAACATCGAGTTTTCCCAAGATCTTTCATCTCAAATTTTGATTTCAAGAAAGCAGTAATTTCCTCAAGCTCTGCGGGAGTTCCAATGAGGTTCATGTCGTCGACATAAACTGCAATGATCATAAATCTGGAATATGACTTCTTGATGAACACGTATAGGCATAGTTTGTATTCACATAACTATGACTTATCAAATATTCACTCAGATGGTTATATCACATCCGCCGGATTGCTTCAATCTGTAGAGTGATTTCCTCAATCTAATCGAGAGGGTGTTTCGTGGTCTAGAATGATTTGAACCAGTCAATGGAAATCCTTCTGGAACTTTCATGTACATTTTCGTATCTAGATCCCCATAAAGATACGAAGTTACCATGTCCATAAGCTACATATTCAGTTTTTTGGAAATTGCCAAACTGATAAGGTAGCGGAACGTTATGACGTCCATTTCGGGGTAATACATCTCTTCGTAATCAATCCCAGGGTGTTGAAGAAACCTTGCGCTACGAGGTGTGCTTTGTATCGCATTATTTCATTCTTCTCATTACGCTTCCTCACGAAAATCCACTTGTAGTCCATGGGCTTCACATGTGGTGGAGCAGGAGCTATAAGCCCAAACACCTTACGTTTCATGTGGTGCCGCATAAATCCCTTTTTTTTCTTTTTTTTTTTTTTTTGAATTCTAGGGGTTAAAAACCCTAATTGTTTCTAAATTGATTTCGATGCTTTGACTCACAAATTTCACATAGTATAATTGCGTATTGCATGAACAAGTATATATATTGACAAAATATATGAACATATATACAATATATATAATTGGAAGGATAATATAAATATAGGAGGTTCATGCATGATGGGGAATGTTTTCATGCTTCAAGGTGTTTCCAAATATCTTAATTTATTGTAGAAGAACCTGATTGGCAAAAAATAATTGAAAGCCTTTGATGTTGTAGAAGAAAGCCTCCTCCACGATCCTTCAATTTCTTAGCTTCTGGCAAGAGTGTGCTGATAACATGTTGTAGGCCTATTTAACTTAACTGTATTTAGGACAGAGAAGGAGAGAGGCCGACAGCAACAAAGAGAGAAGAGAGAGATGTAATTCCGAGGTGTGTATTGTATCATCTCATTGTGCCTTTATTTATAGTAGTAGGGAAGGTTAAATCATTAGCCTAATAGGATTACAACTATAATATGAATTAAACTACTAAAGAGAATATACAAAGATACTCCTAGATACACTAGGTTTTACACAATCACATTTCTAATCCAATAGAACTGCAATAATTCAAACATAATTAATTGAATTCTAATTTAACTTGTATAGAACTTGTCTTATATGATGTGACTAAAAAAGGAATTAGATTTTATATGGTGAAACAAAAGGTTAATTATAAATATAAAGTTTAGTTTTAAAAAACAAAACAAAACAAAACAAAACAAAACAAAAGTTGTTGACAACGACTTTCAAACCCATGGGACAGTGGAACTGTCAAACTGCACAGACCAATGCACTACAAGCTCTTTATTACCAAACTTGGATTGGGATCCTAGCCAGATCCTCTTTGTAGAGATCTGGAGGATTAATTTATTGTGTCCGTTTATTGTACATCGTGCGGTAATAAATTATTTTAAATTTTTTATTTAAAATTAAATATAAACAATATCTAATGAAAACAAATCGCACGATGTATGGTAAATGAACACGATGAATTAATCCTTCAAATCTCCACAAAGAGGATCCAAAAGATGATCCTCATCCGCCAAACTTAGTAGGCAATAACTATATATTAGTAAATTTCAAGATAGGCCTAGGCCTCACATGGCCTCTATGTGGTTCGGCCTTGGAGGTGGACGGGTGAAGAAGCTGTTATGTTTTAAAAATAGAAATACGATGGATGGTGATATAAAGTGAATAAGAAAATAAAACAAATGGGTGGGTCTAGCCACTCTCAAAGTATATAAGACTGTAACATAACTAAAACTAAAAATAAAACATAACCACAAAACGCGTGAAATTGAAAAATCATTAGCTGAGGACTACTCACATTTTTAATTTTCACCGTTAAAAGCATGCAACCTCTTTTTCTTCGACGACATACGGGCCTAGCCAGGTTTGAAGTCCTAGAAACTGGGACATGTTGGACCACAAAACAAAGCAACAAGGACATGCTGACCAGAAGCATGAGCTTGATCGAAAATAATTTGAAACAAGAGAGCACGAGAAACATGCAGTAACAAAGACATGCTGACGAGAAGCATGACCTTGATCGAAAATAATATGAACCAAGACAGCACGAGAAACACGCATACCATGCATCACTGCCTATATATATGTACATCTTTTGATATCAAATTCACATACATACTCCTAGTAGCTTCAGCTTCTTGCATTCAGCCACATTGCTCCTCGATGCATAATAATACGCCTCTTCGAAGCCATGGAGCCTACAAGCCAAGCATATGGAGTTACGATTTTATTCAGTCCTTGAAGATTGATCATAATACCCTACAGGTGATTGATCGATTTTAATTACGACATTTTTTTTTATTTCTCTCTTATGTGTCCATTTGCACTTTTTGTTTAGTATTTAAAAGACCCAAAAAAGTTCATGCCATTGGAACGTGACATACATCAAAAACCTGGTGATGTTAAATTTTGTTTTGAAGCCTTTTGCTCATACATATTGAATTGTACATGCATGTAGCTAAATTGGATATAGTATCAATGTAATTAGTCGTAATTAGTCGTAGATCATTGGACCGAATTTGAAAATGCAATATATGATACAAGTTTTATCTAGACGTATTACTTACACTTAATTACTATTGTAGGATAAAGTATACAAGGATGGGTGGAAGTTCATTGAAGAGAAAGTTAAGCATATGATTGATTACGATGATGATGATACCAACACGCTGACTGCGCTTGAGCTCATAGATGACATCCAACGGTTAGGTTTGGGATATCACTTTGAAGAGGACATAACGAGAGCCCTTGATAAAATATTGAACAACATTGATGGCCAGGGAACTGACCAGAGTCTCCACCTCACTGCCCTCAGCTTTAGGCTCCTTAGACAACATGGATTTGAGGTCTCCCAGTGTATGTAATACGCAAATATTTTGTTATTTATTGTTATAAACGATAGATAATCTACACTAAATTTATCTAAATTTTAGAATAGGATTTTAACCCAGAAAGTACGTGCCTTAAATCTAAACAAAGTACACCTAAATTTAACATTTAATCGGTTGCAACTCAACATTACAATTTAGTGATATTCATCTTCACTTGTAAGTGCAAAAATAGAGAGTTTGCAACCAATTTATTCTCTTATCCTTTTAGTGTAAATATATCGATGGATAGAAAAATATATTTATCATTTACAGTTGATATATACCACATACTTTAATTTGGTATAATTACATCAAAACTATATTTAGTAGGATTCTAGCTCGTATTGATACATATGCGAGACTTAAGGTGCAAGGCTTCTACCAAAATAGAAATAGTTTTGGAGATGCGGGCTTCCCTACTATCAGTTTTGGTTATTAGCGCTATACCATGCATGAACTCACTTATACTATGTTTCAATTAGAGAATTGTGAGTTACAAATAATCTTAATGCTTAAAAATGCACTTGAAGAAAACGCTATAACAACGAACTACTCAAGCACTTGAAAGGTGATTTTGAAACACGGCAAAATTACAAAATGCCCTACAAATTAAGACATTGAACAAAGAACTTTCAAATTTTCTTCTTGTCATTTTCAAGTCACTCTTTCTAAATGCACCATTAAAGTTTTTCCATCTAAATTACTAGATACGTATATAATAAACTTGTATGAAACTCAGATGTATTCAGTAAGTTCACGGACGGTAATGGAAGTTTCAAGGCATGGCTTTGCAAGGATGTAAAAGGAATGTTGAGTCTATACGAAGCTTCATATTTTGCTTTCGAAGGAGAGAGCCTGTTGGATGAGGGCCTTGCATTCTCAACCATTTGTCTCAAGAACCTCAGTGGAGCTAATGTTACCAAAGGACTAGCAGAACAAGTGAGTCATGCACTGGAACTTCCACTGCACCATAGAATGCAAAGATTAGAAGCTAGACGGTATATTGAGGCATACAGTGAAAGGCCCGATGCAAATCAGGTGCTACTTGAAATTGCCAAGCGAGATTTTAACTGGGTGCAATGCACACTCCAAAGGGATCTTCAAGAAGTATCGAGGTAACTATATTTGGGAAGAAAGAATCAAACACAGGATTAGGAGCACAACTGTATATATGTTTTAAACCATCAAGGGAATTATATACTTGCGACCATAAGCATGAACCTAATTCAATCAATGTATTTGCTTCATTGATATTGCATTTAGGTGGTGGGTGGATATAGGCTTGGCAAAAAAGTTGAGCTTCACCAGAGACAGATTGATGGAGTGCTTTTTTTGGTCGGTTGGAATCGTCTTTGAACCTCAACAGAGTCATGCCAGGAAAGGGCTGGCAAAAGTGGCTGCTCTAGTAACCACAATTGATGATGTCTATGATGTTTATGGTACTTTGGATGAACTAGAGCTTTTTACATCTGCAGTTGAAAGGTTAGAAATTTTCTTTTGTGTTTATATATATAAATTTAGATTGCGTGGGATGATTTCTTCTCGGCGTTTCATTAATTAACAACTCTCTTAATTAATCCTTAATTGCGTACTTATGCTACGCAGATGGGATATCAAAGCTATACAAACTCTCCCAAATTACATGAAGCTTTGTTTTCTAGCTCTTTACAACACAGTGAATGAGATGGTTTATGACACTTTAAAGGAGCAAGGAGAAAACATTCTCCCTTATGTCACAAAAGCTGTACGTACACTACATTCATATTATCATATATCAACAATGCTACTTAGACATATAAAATTAACCAGATTAATAATATCATATTATTCTCCAATTAAATTATAACTTCAGTTTCCAATAGTAATTAACTGCAATTTTTTGAATTATATATATCTCAGTGGGCTGATTTGTGCAAAGCATTTCTAAAGGAGACAACATGGTGCTATAACAAGCACACACCCACATTTGAAGAATATATTGACAATGCATGGATATCAGTCTCTGGGGTGGTGTTCTTGGTTCATACATATTTTCTTCTCAACCCAAAGGTCACAAAGCAAGCACTTGAATGCTTAGAGAATCATCACAGCCTCTTGCGTTGGCCATCTCTTATTTTCCGGCTTTCCAATGATTTGAGTACTTCAACAGTACGTATTTAATTCAAAGTCTGTTCAACAACTATTTTAGTTTTCCATTTTTTAGATTGAAGATTAAAAATTTGTTTAGTAACTTTGTACAGCTCTTAGGTTTTTAAATAAATAAAAAAATCTGAAAACCAAAATCAAACTAAATCTTGAAAGGAAAATGATAAAAACACACTATTTTTCCCTCCTACACGTTTGTTTCACTATTTCATTTATTTTATTCAATCTAATGTTTGAAATAAAAAGAGGCGTGCGAGGCTAAAAATAGTGTAAAAATCAACTCCTATATTGAAAACTATATTGAAAACTCACAACGTTTACAACAAGTTTTTAATTTAAAAAAAAAAACAAAATAATTATCAAACGACCTTTTTATTTCTTTTTAATCGGTACTTTAATGCATCATGCATGCATCAGTTTATCTTCACATTAATATTCTATATATTAATTTGTTGTTACACTGCAGGCAGAAGTGGAGAGAGGAGAAACTGCGAACTCAATCTCATGCATGATGCGTGGCAGTCTAAATGTTTCTGAGGAATCTGCTCGTCAATATATAAGTAATTTGGTTGAAAATAGTTGGAAGAAGCTGAACAAAGATGGAGCTTCTGCATCTCCATTTACAAAACAATTTGTAAAAGCAGCAATAAACCTTGCTCGGATTTCCCAGTGCGTATACCAGTATGGTGATGGGCACGGAGCTCCAGACACAAGAGCAAAGAATCGAATCATATCAGTGATTGTCGATCCCATTTAAAGACCATAACACATACACTTATATATGTTTGATGGTTTTCCCTTAAAAAAAATAATATGTTGGATGGTTATTAGCCACTAACATAGTGGCATTTATTTTAGTTTCTTGTTCGATTTTTCAATATGTATTAGAATAAAATGTTTGTATTTAATTTAAATGTCATGTGATATTTGATATTTAATTTCTCAAATCTCCAAATAGTTTTTGGTGTTTAAAAATTAAAAGCCATTTAACTGGTTAATACTAATATGTGTAAAAAAGTGTGATTGGATGGTACTGCATATCAATACAAAATTGACAAAAAATGGACAAATCATTATCAAGTGTTGTGGTCTTGTAGATTAATATCTATTACCAAAATTATATACATCTTCTTATATAAGGAGATGTATAATTTGGATAATAGATAATTATATAATTCCAACAGAAAGTTTATATGAATTTTTTACTTCTCACACACCCCTTGTTAATTTCTGTCATTTGATCTTCTTTAATTCATCCGATCCGATGGACGAAAATCAAAATGGTGTTTGAGAAGTAAAAAGAAGTGTATGGATAGCACACCCCTTTCTTTAATATCACATATGAAATGGATAGAAGAACAACCATTCCATGCAAGGTATGAGTCAATACAAAGCCTTTTTCATGAAATAGTTAATGCATATTAAAAAAAGAAAACAAAATTTACCAGATAATCACTTGATTTGATAATCAATTTTTTGTGGGTTTGATTTAGGGGTGGGCAAACGGGTATAGGAACCGTGGGTCGGGACGGGTACGGGCCGGTTGCAATTTTTCATAAGAGAGAAGGGACAAGGCAGGGCAAGTCTTTGAAATTTTAGGGGAGGGCCAGGTCCAAATGTATAGAAAACGAGGCCACCATGCACAGCAGCCTCATGGCATCCTTGCCACGTCAGTCTCACCTCCTCGGCCCTCGCCGAGCCAATTTTTCAAGTCCTAAGACTCCCAAAAAATTAAGAAGAAGAAAATTCAAAATTTTCTTACCTTGGTGCGGCACGAAGAAGAAGACCAACGAGAGACGACTCTTTGCAAGGGCAAGAGAAGAAGAAAGGTAGGGGAGGGGAAATTTTTTCCTCTGGCTTCTCTCTTCCTTGTTGGAATGATGATTGTTCTCCAAATTTATTTAATCCCCTGCTTAAGGCAAAATTAAATAGGTATTGGGGGCAATTGGTTTCCTTTTCATAGAAGAAGTCTATCTTCATATCAAGAGAGGAGATCAAATTCAAATTGGGAAACAACCCTACAAACCTATGCAGCTTGGGATTTCTACACCTACTGCCCTTTTTCTATGCGTAGCCCAGCAGGTGTGGGGGCATTTGTGGAGCCTAAAATAATCCCAAAAATTCTAGAGGCGACACGTGGACTTTTGCTCAAGAAATACAAGATTGCCCCCAATAATTGGGCAGGCTCCTCTGATACTCCCACACACAGTTCATACCCCCTGAAGGTCCCAACAGCTAAATACGACTACCCACAGCTTACCTGCCCTTGGCAAGGAAAAGTCAAAGCATTAAAGATAAGGATTAATTACCCAAATCCTATCCTTAATACATTTCCAATTGAATATTGACTCCAATCAAGTAAGTAATCACAATTTAAATCAATTAGGGATAATTACTCCATTATCGCAAGATACTATTTCCTATTTAATATCTTGAGAATATTTCTCCATAAACATAGGCCAATAGGATGCCGCCATGTGTAGGGTAAAACCCTAACACTATGGCCGGCCCTCTCCCCTATATATACCCCATATTCTACCAAATTTTAGAAGCTTTGGCTACCCTAAAAAAAGCCCTAAACACTTTACTGTCCTCACAGAAACTGACTTAGGCATCGGAGATCCATTGGCCTAACCCCGCCCCCACCTCGCAAGCGTGTGAGGCTTAGGTCTTTGATCAAAAGTGTTGATTGTTTTGCAGGTGCACTTTCGTCAAGATTGAAGATGGTGGAAATTTGCATCGACACCATTCAATAGTTGCATGGTGGCAATTGATAGTTGCAACCCAAGTCAGTGCCTATTCTTCCTAATTCACACCAATAGGAATGGTGTTCACTAGCTAGAATTGTAGTAGTGTAAATTTTCTCCATCTTAATTACTAGATATGTATACAATAACTTGGATGAAACTTTAGATGAACTAAGTAATTCACAAAAGGTAATGAAAGTTTCAAGGCATGGCTTAGTCTGTACAAAACTTCATATTTTTGCTTTTGAAGGGGAGAGCCTCTTGGATAAGGGCCTTGCTTCTCGACCATATGTCTCAGGGCTGGTTTGGTATTGCTATGCTTTGAAAAAAAAGTTGTTTCTGCTGTGCTGTGAGAATAAGCAGCTGTAAAATAAAGCAACAGAGTGTTTGGTAAAATTTTTTGTAAAAGTGCTTTTGAAAAAAAAAAAAAAAAGCAGTATTATAGTGTTTGATAAACTTTTATGTAAAACATATGTGAAAAAAAGCCGGTTTTTCAAAGTTAGGTTTTGCAGCTTCTTGTTTTTGGCTTTTTTTCACCCAAAACTATGAAAAAAAAAGCTGAAGCTGAATGTTTACCAAACACAAAAACAGCTCCCAGCTTTTTTTGATACCAGCTTTTTTCAGAATCACCTCGGTACCAAACCAGACCTCAATAACCTAATGTTACCAAAGGACTAGCAGAGCAAGTGAATCATGCATTGGAACTTCCACTGCATCACAGAATGCAAAGCTAGATGGTATATTGAGGCATACAATAAAAGGCAAGATGCACAAAAGATACTACTTCAAATTGCCAAGCAAGATTTTAACAGGGTGCAATGTACACTCCAAAGGAATCTTCAAGAAGTATCAAAGTAACTATTTTTTTTCCTCTTATACATGCAATATTAGGGATGAGAGAATCAAACATAGGATTAAGAGTACAAAGTATATATGATACCAATCAAGGTAATATAGGGAGTTTTTTGGCTTCTTCAACACCTCTCTTTATTTCTGGTCATCAGATAAAAGAAATTGAATAAAAACAACAAACACAATTGAAATGAGTGTATAGGAGGACGAAAATGGTGTGTTTATAATTTCCATTATTATATACATACGACCATAAGCATTAATCTAAATTTAATCGGTTTGTGGAAACTAAGAATGGGCAGGAATGTATTTATCATACAACTTGGTACCCACCCGTGCCTCATCCTTTCCATCAATTTTATACAAGAACAATACTTGGCTAGTCAAATATAAGTAGAAACTCCTACTCAAAATTGTTCGTTGTCAATTTTTATTACTTCGTATTTATAATCAGAAATGTTTATATTATAAATCGCCATATAAAGATCGCCTCTGCAAAAATCAATTAAAACTAAGGCCGTTTAGTCATCAAACTATTTAAAAACAAATAAACTGTATTGGTAAAGCATTACGAACCATCTGTGTATTTGCTACAGTGAATTGATTAAACGACCTTAGTTTTAATTTATTTTTGGTAGAGTTGAACTTTACAGTTTGATTCATAGTATGAACAGTTCTGATCATAAATATAAAGCTTTGTGATTAAAATACTAAGAGTTTTGAGTAAGAGTTCCTACTCATTTTTAAGTAACCAAATATTATTTCTTTATACAACATATTTCTACTAGCACTACTTGTACTATATATCGGAAATGGATCTTCTTCGGATCTCTTCCACCATGTCCTCCTCATTAACTAATTTGGACCCTTTAAATTTGATCCAACTACTACAAATAGGGGTCTACTTTAAAAGTTATAATAACTTTAACTGTTGGATCAAATTTTAAGGATCCAGATTGGTTGATGGGAAAAACTTGGTACAAGAGATTTGGATATGATCCCTTTCCGTATATCAATTATGATTCTCATTCAACTATTATGATATCAAATTTCTATTAATACTAACTTTGCTTCATCAGAGACAGATTGATGGAGCGAAATAAAAAGTAATGCTACTTTGACATAAAATTAACGACAATGCAGATATTTTTCGTTGCTTTCCAGGATATCCATACATATTGTTGCCTATGGATCAGGATCCTCTCCTGATCTTTGTATGGGGATCCTCATGACCAACAAATATGGGCCGTTGGATAAAAATCCAACGGCTATAATTATTATAACTTTAAAGGGACCCCTCTGTTTGTAGCCGTTGGATTTTCATCCAACAGCCCACACTTGTTGGTCATGAGGATCCCCATACAAAGATCAGGAGAGGATCCTGATCCGTTGCCTATCATCAATGCATGCAGACATTTTGCATCACAAAAAGCAATGAAGGTGACAAGTCACTGAAATAAAGATGTGTCAGTCAGTGGGGGTGTGGAGGAGAAAGCGAAAGGTGTAATTGCTACATGATCTCAAATTTAAAGGGCCTACAAAATTTAGTGGTCATTTAGTACTACAGTATCCTACAATAAAACCATTTCCAATGGTTAAACTAAAAGTCAAATATTTTAGTCCGAGAAATTTAGTTTTTAGCCCAGAAATAGTTTTTCTACTCCAACCGTTCTGACCTGAAATTTTAGTCAGAGATTATTAAAGAATGAACTTAGGCTATTTTTTTTCTTAAATTAAATTTAAAAAAATAAATAAATATGTAGACTATCGTAAATTAATTTTATGAACATTTTAATCTAAAAAAATTTAAATTCCGATAAATATTGAAAGATCACTAAATTTTCCACAAAGCTCACAATTCGTTGCAACATAATATTATGTACATAACAAATAAAATATCAAGAACAAAACTCACAATTTCTGTGGCGCTCCTCCCACTAGCCACGCCAACCACGTCTCTCTCCAAGCTTCCCTTCCACAAAGTGCATGCTTTGTTGATAGTCTTCCACCGATCATATACACCACCACCATCCCGCCTACCGCCATTACAGTTTTCTTGAAACTCTGCAATGATTTTATCCCCCAAAACCTTCTTATTTTGATTGGTGCCAACTACACCATCTTTGCTAACAGAAACTCATGCCAAGCATAGAGCAACATCTTCCTCACAGGTCCAATTACGAACTCTAATATGCTCTCTTGCCATGTTGAACAATTTGGAAATGGAAAGAAATGATAGAAAGATAAATTGGA